AGGACCTTTCTGTGAATAGTCTCTGACATTGAAAGAGGCAGGTCATTCATGACTCAGGAGCAGCATCACATTATTGTACAGTGTGCAATCAGCTTAAAGTAATAAGCAATATTAAGCCCCGTGTGAAACACACTCATAAATTGCAGTCTTTGTGATTTGCTTATTGCGTTGTTTCATGTTGCAATTTAAAATCGTTTCGATGTTTAGCCCTAACCTGATGTATTAGATTCATTATACCACATATGAACTGTAACAAGTCCTAAATTGTCTAAAGTTAGCGACGTAAAAATTGATAAAATTCTGAATGAAGTTTGGTATGGTCGTTTTGTGTCTAGAGAATGCATGGTACCTTGGGTTAGGTCTTCAGGTGTTCCAGCTGGGCCTTACCCATACAGAAATAAACAGTCTACATTGTACTAAGTATGCCTTTGCTTTCTCCTTCAGATGGCTGGACAGGGATTTGCAAAATGGTGGGCCTTGATGAGCCCTTACTATACTAAGGCATACCAAGAGATGTGGGTGGGAGTTGGCCTCTTGGGATTCGTGTACTACAAAATTTCCTTTGGGGGTGAGTTCATTCACTGATTTTTACAGTATGTGGAAAATGGAGCTGAACTCCATAATACACACTAAATGTGCAATAATGGAGTTGATTTTGTTCTGTGGATTGTGATGTGCAAATTTGGAGGGACCTCTTGAACCTATATTGTGTTACATATAACTTTACTGGTTTAAATTGTCTGAGATTGATGAGTATTTGCACTTTTTTGTACAGGGTGAATTAGAATAATAAACACAAATAGAAATTGCAATACAAAGGTATTTGTTTTCAGTTTCAGTGGAACATATTGTAAGATAAGATTGCTAATTTTAGAATTAGGTGTGAAATAGGTCTGTGTTCCATATAGCTGAATAAACCCTTAACAGGCTATAGTTACTTGAATACATTTCAATGTACAGTGTCTCAATGTGACACACACAAATGTCTGTTTTTCTCCTTTCCAGGCAAGAAAGCTGTGAAGGACAGTGAGTATTGTAACATTTTTTACTCATACGATATAATTAGGTTTTGGCAATAAGATTATATATATAATTACATTTGTTGGCTGGTTAATTGCTAGCTTAGTTAGACATTTTTGCCTGATTATTCCATGAGTAAGTTTAATTATGTCGTGTCACTACACAGATAATATAAAATGATGGAGGATTTGCTACATGTTGGCCATGAAATATGGGAACTACGACATTCCTATTGCGCACAAAATGATTCAAAAAAATTTTAATAAATTAAAAAATTAAAAAAATCTAACAAATTATTTTTATTTTATTTATTTGTCTTTATATTTCTACTTTTATTAGCCTTTTCTTTTATGGATTCATTTTGGATCAATTTTGCCTTATATTGCCACATTATTTGTTTATATATTTTATTTATTCCTTTATTTTGTTTCCACCTTTATTTTATTATTCTTTTATTGATTTATTTTTGTAATTTGGCACTCTCACTACTCTATAAGTGTGAGCTATGTATGTTGTGGGAAAAGTCAAGGCAAAGAATATGTCACATGTTGTGCAGTTGCATGTCTGTACCCCTAGATGTCAGTGACGGGTCACACACGTACACACACACACAATCTTGTCATGACTGTCTGATATATTGGTGGATTTAGCTGCTGGAGTGAATTTACTATCTGTGAGGTCTTTTGAGGTTGTACAGAGATTAATACTACTTTTATCGCTTTGTTGTGATTAAGCCTATATTTTTGTCTTTTTTTTTTTGCAGAGCCTGCCCATTGAGTTTTTCACCATGCAGACCACCCCTCCACCTGCTGTGAAATATTGCCCCAAATCCAGAAGTCCAGCTTCACATTTAAATTTTTGTTAATATGGAACAAATAAAGTTGTTAAACTTCACTCACTTCATTTTTTTCTGACTTCATTTGTATCACGGTCGTCATAACATAGTTGCACTAAAGTCTTTTTGTGTGACGTGGTGGCTGTACACAGAAAGAAACGTAACAAAAGTAGAGCTTCGTGGGAATTAACCTAAGGCCCTTCTCTGCAGTATCTACAGAAAATCAGTACATTTTTAGCTAGAATGCTTCTTTCGGCCAATATTTACTTTATTAGTACTGAACAATTAGGACTACATCATTAATATTAAGATCACATTAACATTTGTAATGGAAATTCAAGCTGATGTGGCTGATGCTTAAGAAACCTGATGTAAGTGAGCTGTCTGCTTCCTTTGAACCATATGTGATGGATCCATATATCTTTTATGGAGATGCTTGACTGCTTCATCACCTTTACCCTGATTTTAAACCAGATCAGACCAGTCTGTCTATCAGTTCTTAGAAAGTATGTATCACTTCCTTGCAGCCATTTCTCACCCTGAAACCACACGGTCCAGGTGGACTCTATAAACGGCCATCATACTGTTACTTCTACATTCAGTCGGGGCACGAGCAATGTCAGGCCCTGTAAGACTGAGCCCCTTTCCAAAGGCTTGCAATAAAAAATCCCTGAAGACAGGTCTGCTTCAACGATCTTAATTTCAGATTTCCACCACACATTTTATAGCTATGTAGACGGTGTTACAAATCCGCTGACTAACATTAGACTCGATTTTTATTTAGAATTTGGCTCTGGCTATAGAGGAAAAATTCAGCAAACTAGCATTCAAGTGATGTGTCTTGCTCACTTTAAAAAGCCCTTTAGTCAGTTCAGACCAGATGATGTGGTCCTTTGGACAATTGCATCCTTCTGTATTTCAGTGTTGACTTTATCCTCTTGGGGAAAAAATGGGAATGAGTGAGCAATTTCTAGCCAATGAATCACCGTTTGGGTTTGCATTTTAACTAATTGAACAGAGAATAAACCACAGCACTGCCATGTTCGATGCTGAGTGGGTGTAGAGGGCAGTTAGTCATTCTGGAAAGCCAGAACTCTCTAACCAAATATTTTTGATGGGGAGAGGATATTTGATGGCAATGACAACCTGCAATCACACACCTAACCCTGTTATTTCTGCAATAAATATTTTGAATGTTGCTCTAATTCTCAATGGTAGATTTAACATGGGTTATATAATGTATTGAAGTGCTCGCCCTGGGTTACGACACAAAGCACTGTAGCATCACAACTGATGCGTTGGCAAAAATCAATAGCAAATGAATAGGTTTCTGCGTACAGTTTGGTTCAGTGAACTGAGTGAGTTGACCAGAGTCCTGCCTGGGGCCACAAATTTAGTGCTGGGCGAGGAGGGTTAGTGTCTACATGTGCTGGCGATGATGCATACAGGTGGTAAGGATTTTCATACATCAAAACAACTCATGGTTAGAGCATGTATTGCTTCTCTTGGCATGACAACAATGTAGTGGTCTGTAATGAGCACGACAAGTCTCCTGAACTTGTACAAAACTCAATATGTCTACTTAGAGGTCGCTGTAGTTATGTTAAGACTAAATATAAACTCCACCATGCAAGGGGCTCAGGTGACTCCTCTCCTATCGTTCTACATCTCGGTGACGTCATGCTGTAGTCGTGCCTTTGTAGAGTTTCTCTCTTGGGACTCAGATGAACTGATTGCTTTTGACGGTTGGAATGAGATATGGGTCTGGTATGCAGGCTTTTATGAATTTGTTCAACTGTAGTGCTACATCATTAAACAGATGTCTGGTGACACGATCGTTGTTGCTTCCTGGTCCAATGTTGTGATGTCACAGGTCCCAAAATATGCAAGTATGCAGAAAATGGTTTGGCTTAATTTTATATCTAAAATCTTTAAGACCCTCTTGTGGTGAAAATTCTTTTTTTTTTTTTTTCCCCCTCTAAACATGTCCATACAGTGTTCAAATATGTCGAAGAGCACATCTTGAGTGAGATAAGAAGTCAGTGCCACACTCTAAGTATTGTATGTAAGCACTAATGACTTTTTAGATTGAAACATTCAGTTCAGTTTACTGATGTGTATATTATACTGGATTATATTTGCAGCTTTTTAATATTGTAGTTGGCCAAGATGGAGGTCATTTTGACAACTGCATACCGTTAGCAATGAATTCTGAATAGTTCCACTATAGACTTATGGTTTTCCCTTTTTTGACTGCTTTATTTGAATAATCCCAAGAGGCCTGAGGAGGTGAAACTACCCAATTCTTCGCCTGCAAAAAACAAGACCATTTAATTATAGATATATATACTGTATATCCATCCATTCTCTATACATCACTTTATCCTCTGTAGGGTCGTGGGGGGCTGGAGTCTATCCCAGCTGACTTAGGGTGAAGGCGGGGTTCATCCTGGACAGGTCGCCAGTCTATCACAGGACTACACAGATCATTTAGAATAACTAGTTAACCTCAGCATGTCTTTGGACTGTGGGAGGAAGAACCTGGAGAGAACCCACGCTGCACGGGGAGAACATATACTGTACTATGTTATATTCCTGCTTAAGTAAACTCACTTGCCATTTCATTAGGAACACCTAATCAGTTTTTGTTTTTCAGCTTGGCAATTCTCCGTAGATCTTTTGGTCACCTATCACTACCATTTGCTTACGCAGGCATGACTGCTATGTAGACACACCACGAGGACTCGTTTGTAAAGAATGGGGCAACTGCTCTAAATTTTTGGGTTTTTTTTAAAAAAATAAATTGTTGGTATTACAGTTTAAATTACATTAGGATTAACATATAACTTCGCTCCGAACTCCTATTTTTGGAGATTTTTTTTTTTTATTATTATAAAAAGAGGGACATTTGTCATGCATTTGGAACCAAAAATACATCAACTTGAAAAATGTATTTAAAAGTCTATAACATATTCTTTCTTGGGGTCCAATGGATCCGAAAGACCTTCTGCGCATGGCGACATGAAAGTCCTGAGTAGGGTTAACAGGCTTTACTATTGATTGTGTAGGGGCCACCCTTTGGCTTGACCCCTGCCTCCTTGAGGGTCATGTTTAGTTTTGTTATAGCTGAAGAATTGAAGCACATTAATGGGCATTTTTGAGGCTGGGGTTTGGGTTGCTGTCGACTGTATTTCACTGTAGGGAGAGGGTGTTATTCAGCCAACCCTCAACGATAAAAATGGCATTGACAAAATAATAGAAGTAGGACAGAAGGTGATCATACATCTGATTCGACTGCTCCCACAAAAACCAAACATTATAACCATCATGAAAGTAGCTTTCACTGCAGGACTGTTGTATGAGATTGCACTAGTTTAAACTCAGAATACCTGAGAAATTATATGTACAGCCGTCCTCAAATGTATTCATACCCTTCCATTAAAGAAAAGGCAAAATTCACAATAGTCACTCAAATAACTAGAAACTGAAAAAAGTAATAATAAATCAAAATTTGCTAAATTATAATTTAGTGAAACAAGACATTGCTTTTGAATTGTGATTGAAAAGAATAATTTAAAAAAAATAAAACTAAATGAGAGCACTTTGCTGATGAGCAGTGGGCCAAAATCAGAATACCTGTCAACAGGTGCAGAAGTCTGATTGAGTTACAGAAAACACTTGATTGCAGTGATTGGTTCAAACGGTTGTTCAAGAAAATATTAGTTGGTGGGTCCCATCATGCTTGTTTGCTTGTTTTTGTTTTTTGAAATGTTTCTGTTTTACCACAATTCAAAAGTAATGTCATGATTTTCATTACATTTGTATTTATTATTACTTCTGTCAATTTTAATTTATTTCAGTGACAGCTGTTTTTTCCCCTTCTTTAATGGGAGGGTGTGAATACATTTGAGTACGATATAATTTCGGTAAATGTGCTTAGCTCCATCCCTGAGTGCGTCTTTTGTGGTGTGAAACTGGAGCATCTGGCCGCTAAAGGTTGATAAAGCCTGTTCTGAGCCACCTACACAGTTTGATCTCTGTGAAAACAATGACATTAAAGGCTACATGGAACATTTCTGCCACTTTTGCTCTCTATTATAATTATTAAAAAGAGAGACACTCGGTTCGGTCCACGTTGCTCACACCGGTGTGGGTCTGATGTTCGCGGATCAACGACACGAGACGCTGAGCGAACGAGGGCTCGCGCTCCCTCCCCTCCCCTCCCCAACCCCCTCAGCGGCTCGTGCGCTCCGTCCCCGGCTCGCTCGCTCTCTGCTACATTCAAACATGGCGAAACTCTTTGCCATCATCCCGCCGCCGTCCCCCTCAGCGCGCCCCGCTTCGCCGTCTCCCTCCCCGCTGACACTGCCACCGACGTCTTCACCTTCAACATCACCTTTATCTCCGGTACCGTGATGACCCGGGAGGATGGAGAAGCTGTCGGCGAGCCTGTCGGAGATCACTTGGAGCCCGTTGGCGCTGCCGTTGGACGCGGTGGTCAGCAAGTTCCGTCTGCCCACTCTGGTCCGCTTGGCCCACGGTAAGAAGCCCGCACAGGTGCCTCGACCGCAGACACGACTGCCGCAAAGTTTTCGCCATGTTTGTGTGCTTTTGACAACTGTTGTTGGCTAACTCTGACGCCGCTCCTCCGCCGCTTGCTGGAGTTAGGATACCTGGGACTAGTGATGAGAAATAACCATGAATGCGGTTTTACAGTCAGAAAAAGAGAGAAAGTTCAACATTTAGTCGATTAATGTGTGTTTTAATGAGTTTAGCGACACAGGGCGCTTACAACAAGTGTTGCCGTTTACTGAGGAATATGTGGAGCTTTGCAACGGTGTCAAGTTGGCAGAAAAAATGGCCGCTTCCAGTCACAGCTCCCAAAATAAATCTGGGAACTTGTCAATGTTAACAGAAAAAACAAGTTAGAGGGGATTACATAGTTTAAATGGCAGGGGGGGAAAACTGCATAAAGTTTGTGTGGTAATTCTACGTAATTATGGCAAACAAAGAAAATAACCCTAATAAGTTTAGCTGATATAACTTGGTTTAAGGCTTGTCAACTGTAACCTCCATAACTCATTCAAGATGATTCCAGTAAAATGCACTAAACTGCAGTTAAAACTAATAAAATGTTTACCAACATTTAATTTTGATGACACTTCAGATATGGCAGACTCTCTTGGCTGCTTATAAGCCTGCCCTATCTTTAGCGAATTAATCGAATCAAGAGGAAATGAATGTCATCAGTGTGTAAACCTGTGATGACTCAGTGTCATATGGTTGGTTGATGAGTTCAGTAAATATGTAGCTCACTTTGCTTTGAAGTGAAACAGCATCTTAGTTGTGGTGGTGTCTGTCTGCCACATTCACTGAATTATTCTACATATTACAAAGAAGAAGAAAATGAACATAGTCTGTGAGCTTCAGTCCAACAGTTTTATTGTGCACCACACAGAGAGTGCAAACAAACCGAGCATGTCAAGTTTGCATCACAACTTCTTACAATCTCTGTTCAGCTTGTCCTGAACATTGTGGCCTTGCACAGTGCCTTCTGAAATGACGCAATGGGGCTTACAAAACAATCTTATCAAAGCTGCCTTGGAAATTTCACACCCAAGAGAAGACCTTCCTTACATATTGTGATTTTCATCCCTCTGATTGTTTCCTACCATTATATTCAGTTTATGTGGTTATATATGTAAACATGTGGTTCAAATGGCCTTAATGGTTCTACACTTGGTTGTATTTTTCTGACAAAGTGTATAATTTTGGTCAGATGAACTGCTTAAATTAGCCTTACTGTCAGAAAACAGGCACAAATTAGCCTCACAGGATGAGATCATTTGTATTATGGTTCATCACCTACAATATTTCAGATATACTGATGTGATATAACCAAATAGCAGGTAATCCACTATATACATATTCAGTTTTATTAACTACGCCAACCGTCAGGACACGTTTTGTGGTCTTATTTTGAAACCAGCATGTCATTATGTCCGCTATTATATGTGCTAAATGTTGCTAACTTTAGGCAGCTGACGCATTTATACACGGACACCGACCTCACCATTTGAACACCAGCCCACTGATTAGCCAAAATAAGTTTTAACATGACATTTGAGTTGAGTTTGCTTTTTATTTGTTATATGGTTTTCTGCCAACACGATTCCCTGCTTCACCAGGTTTGGTGTCTTCACTTTGGGAACGGGCGATGGGTGTCATGGCCAAAGTTGTTCCAGTCCAGCGAGGCCCGGAAAGCCACAAAGTGTCTGTTGTGCTGCTGAAGTGCTGCTCAATTCTTTTCATATGTAAATGCTGTAATCTGTCGGTGAATGTAGTGAATACTAACGAGCAGCGACGAGGAGGAAAACCTCCCAACTTTCCTCGGTGGACAAAAGCGCGCACCCAAGTCGTGTCATGGTCCCGGAAAATTACGCACCTTACTTCTGGCGGCGCGCGTGTTCATTGTATGGAGAGAGCACCCGTAGGTGTTTATTAACTGCACTGTAGTTACCCCACAGATGCCTCCCTGTTTGCATAGCCAGCCAACCCAGATTGTAGTCAGTTATTTACAACAGGCAGTGATGGGGACAAGTAGGCTTTTTCCCCCCTTTTCATAGCAACATCAACAAACAACAACATTGTGTATTTGTATGGAGGGGCTGCGGTTCAGTGTGCCTAAGGATGTAATTCAGTGTGATAGAAACTTGTCTGACTTTTCTGATAGAAACACTTCACACTGCATGATCTCAAATGAAAGGGTGGCTTAACCGATTGCATTGGGGCAAATAAATAAGGTGCCCTCGGTAAATTGTCGTCATACATTAATTAACCCACTAAACCTACAATATACAAGAAATGGAAACAGAAATGAATTCACCTGTGATTTCTACTTAGTCTTAATGACATGAAGATGACTATAAAATGAACAGCAGAACGTTCTTAGTTTTGGACCTATAGACTGTCTACATCATGGCTCCACATGGAAAATAATTGCCAGAGTAATTTAAAAAATCTTATTGTGAGACTTTACAAACATGGAAAATAATATTGTAAGGTCAGTGACCAAATAAAAAATAGTGGAAGCACAGTTGCAGCAGTAATCAGGAGGTCTAGAAAGAGCCATAGTATCACTAATGAGAGCTGCAGTGACCAGCCCCCTGAAATGGCAGACAGAGCACTACTTGCAAAATCTAGCTCTGAAAAACAGACATGCGAGTGTTTCAGACTTGGAACAGGGATTACCAATACAATTTCAGCTCATTCTTTGGTCAGATGAGATCATGATGAATTTGTTCTGCTTAGATGTGGCGTAGCATCTGGCCGGACTAGCACAGTGAGTGCCTAGTCCCAATAGTGAAGCACTGAGGTAGATGATATGTGGATTCGTGAATGTAGGAAGATGACATTTATAGATGACACCATGAATGCCTGTGGATATACTAAATATTGTCTGACGATGACTCTCAGTGTGCAGAAGCTTGACAAAAGAGGAATATTCCAGCATGGCAAGACTTCAAAGCGCACTGCAAAAACACACAGAAGCTTCTAAAGAAGAAAAAAGTGAGAACTATGAGCTGACCATCTATGTCATCTGACTCGATTCCAATAAACACCTTTAGGGCAATTTCAAGATAAATTTAGAACAACACAACCTATCCAGCATAGAGCAACTGAAAAAAATGTCTAAAGAATGGCAGAACATTTCTCCAGAAATTTGACATCCTTCATGCACTGACTCTGTCTCCAAAAATAAATGTGGACGTGTGAAGTAATGAAAAAATTAAAGATTTTAATCCCAAAAATGAAATGAATTATATTCAGTTCCTACTGTGGGGCCAGTACTTTTAATATAATAAATATAAACTGTTAGTTTTAATTTTTTCATAAACTTAGAAAGTAATGCAGCTCATCTGTAAGTTGATATCATTTTCAATCATGTGACAGTTTAGTGACATTTTTGTACTCACTTCTGCTGTGTGCCGTAAGCTGACGTAACTGTGGCTGTATCCAGCAGTAACTTTTACCAAACAGTTATCAAGGCAAAGTGAGTTGCCCAATGCTGCCAATGATGCTGTTTTGGGAATGTGGTATTGCTGTTGTGTCCAGTTGTTGCCTGAAGCACATTTAAATCACCTGTAGCTAAAGTCTTAGTTGTGGCCATTAACTCTCCCGTCATCTGAGAAGCACTGATATAACAGTTTAGTGCCAAGTCTAATGTGACAAAGTAGGCGAAGTCCTCTTTTGACAATTATCGTCTCAACAACTGGCTTAAATTGTTACGTACTTACAATTCTTTTCCTCTGTGCTCTGTTATTATTCAGTCATCCATCAACATGATTGTTAAACTCAAAGGCTTGGGAGTAACCACTGTGTGTGTGTGTGTTGTGTGATTGAATTGTACCATTGTGCTATCAGCAGAAATCGATGCTGCTGTGCTACCCAGCTCTTGTGAAAGCTGTGTGTGTGTGTATGTGTGTATGTGTGTGTGTACGGGGGTTGTCTAATAGTAGGTTGCCAGTTACATAGCAGGGTCCTGATGAGTAGGTTAGGGGTGGTGAACCGTCACTGATGGTTGTAATTATGAACACTGAATCCTGAGTGCATTTTGTGTGTGCGGTGGTGTTTTAGTGTTTTCCATTGCCGAGCCACTTAGTTTGACCTTAGAAATTAAAAACCTGTTGTTTCCCTGAGGCTGTGAGACTGTTTGTTTATCCCTTCTGTGTGTTGCTTTGTGTGCTGCAGGTGAATGTGTGGAGGGTCTGTCAGAGGAGGATGTGGTGCTCTTACACTCCTGCCGTCAGTGGACCACAGTGACGGCCCACAGCTTAGAGGAGGGACACTACGTAATTGGACCCAAGATTGACATCCCTCTGCAGTACCAGGGTGAGCATGCAAGCTCATACTCTCTTACACACACTGCTTTTGTACACCAGTATGTAGACACAAAATCCTTACACGTTGCTCAAAATTTTATAGACATTTTTAAAATGCCAATTTTCCCTTAAAGTACATGTCCTCTAGGGATAAGAAATAAATGCACAAAGGTCAACATTTTCCACTCGTTCTATTTTTGGTGGGGAATTTGTGTTTCTTTGAGGAAAGGCAACACAAAATAGCAGCAATTGATATGCCTGTAGTTAGTCTTTCATGTTAAGATTTCCTTCAAAATAATACATTTGTTAAACATTTAAATAAAATGTGTTTTTATTTAAGTTCTAGTGCTATCTGAGCTTCAGACAATAAGCTTGGTCAGCATGATCTAATGAAGATGAATTCTAACGCTTTAGAAGCTTTAGAGGCTTTAGAATAACGTCAAACTCAGAGCTCAGCGTTCAGTACAGTCTTTCTCTGTGAACCAGATCAGTAACCAATCTATTTACCTGTGAACTGCCAGACAACTTTTAAAAGCATAAAGGTTTAGGTCTCACATATCACAAAGCTAAAATATAAACTCCTAGAATCAATAAGGTGAATAGGTTTCACAAAATCGTCAAAATCTCTTTTTGAATATATTGTGATAATAACTGGAAAAGTGAAGTTATGCAGATGTGTTTCATAGTGTAGCCTTGTGGGTTCAAACACCATCAGGGTTGATTAGATCTCTTCTTTGTTGAGTATATGTGTTCTTTCCATGTTTCCTGTTTCTGGTTACTTTCTCTCAAAGGGTACAGTAGAATACCCCTGACAATTATCTTCTTTAAGGCACTGGGCTCACAACTAGATTTCCAGGCAATACACAGCGATTCTCCTAATCATTCAAGATAGTTCACACTCAGAAAAAGAACTGTCCCACAAGAACTAGCCCAACAGTAGCCCACTTGTGTGCCAGCCAGTACAAGTTGATGCTCTGTAAAACCTTTGTTTCAACCACCAGAGCATTGAAATTCTAGGGGAAATCCTAAATTTTCCAGCTATACATAATATGTCAGACAGTTGTGTACCATATGATACATGGAAGACATCTTTAATAATTCCATTTGTTGGAATATTACAGCCATAAATAAAAATATGAGTCTTAATAAATAAAATTAAATTAAATGAATAAAAGTTAAAGGAAGAACCTAAGCCTTTGACACCTACTTTGAGTGGATTCGGTTGCTTTGGTACGCTGTGCAGGCAATTTTGCTCCGATGGTTTGGATCCATTTGTCTCCTTAAAGGGCAGAGTCACTGCAAATCAATACAAAGTTGCTCACCTTTATCATATGAGGTAATTTTATCCTGATGAGAGTGACTTCCTGAAGTATGACAATGCCCTCCAGAATGCACTAGTAGGGTGACTGAATGGTTTAATGGGTATGAAAATGTTGTCAGTCATATGCTGTCATCAAATTTCAACCCAATTAAACACCTATGATAGTGTGGAGATGGTGGCCTCCACACTATGACACTGCATCTTGGTTTTTCCTTTGATTTGTCACCTGATAGCGTAAATAGTCACGGTTAGGAATTTTGAATATTGTTGCAAATGTTACATCCTAACTTCAAACCCCAGGGTACAGACAGATACACTTATCACAGCCGCCTACATTCACACATCCAAGCAGCAACCATATGACCTTTCCTGACTCCTCTTGCCCATTGACTTGTCGTCTTGCTGCTGAATGAGTCTAGTCTGAATGACCTCACCGGAGCTCATCCCCACGATCCCATTGTTCCGACTCTCAGTCCAGTCACATTATTCACTGTGTAACTGGATCTTAATGCCTCCTCTCCGTTGCTTCCTCCGCTGATGGAGCGCTGATGTCACCTCACACTACTGCCGCCTCTCAGGCTCCTTTTCAGAAGAATGAAAGAACAGTTGGTTGGGAGGAGGGACGTTGAGATCATTGTCATTTTAGACATTTCAGCTTTCCACCGTGGAAGCATGTGACAGCCAGTATTGGTCATATTAATGATTAAAAAGATAAGAAGTAGTGAAATAATAAATAACAAATATAAATACAGCTGCCGTATTGAATGTACAGGGGCTGTGTAATATTCCAATAAACACAACAAAGAGTAACCAGGATTTTCTTAAAGTGTTTTTTCAGTCATAAAAAGAAGTACATTGTAAGAAACATGTTAAAAAGAATGGCCAAAATGGGATCATTAGAAACTGAGATATGTAGATGTTAAGTTTCTAATATGGGCTCAGCTTCACAAACACTGGATTTCCTGTAATACACTTTACTAGCATCTGTCATCAATATTTTTTCCAACTTTAAAAAGTTCTTCATAGAGCCACATAAGACGTTAAATAGTTGTTTTCATGCTGTCCTTGATGGGTATTATTGTTGTAAAGACTTCTACTAAACACAATGCAAACCTTTCACTCCCTTTTTCTGAATTCAGGATGCTATCTCAAACTCTAAAACTTTCTTCAAAGCAGTCAATCACCAGAATTTGTCTCCCCATAACTAATGTTATGATCTAGCCAAATTGGGTGTTGTTACATGTGATTATTTCAGGAATCATATCCCCCTAATAATGATCAGCATTTTGACTGTCAGACAATCAAATGCATTTCTGGCATGTGAAAAGTTTTGCTTGGTTATCTTGGGGTTTGAGCAGCTATAGTCTGATTTCCCACATGGCTGCTGTCTAAAGAATCTGAAAAAGGATCTGTTATAAACTGCAATGAGCTCGCTCTAGAACCATTGCTGTATTGTTTTACATGATGTGAACATACTTATAGACTGTGCTGTGAAAAACATTACTGAACTTTGCTGCAGAACAGCACTCACAATGTCTTAATTTCTTTCTTTCTTTTCTTTATTTTCCAGCAAATCAATGTAGGCCAAATAGTCATATTTTTGATCACTCCCACTTACAATTTGCTTATGCAGGCAAAACTGACAGGTAGAGTACATGAGAACACATACACAGTACAGTACGCTTTTTACGTAACCCTCAGTTGATTAGAAATCTGGAAGCTTTAATTCTTGATCATTACAATTTAAATGACATGAAATAGGTCCATATAAGATGTGGAAAGTGTCCTTGTTCAGCTCAGGATACCCATGTGGTTGAAACATCACACTATGTCCATCCACCCTTTGGTTTCTTTTTTTTCTCTCTTTAGGTTCTGGGTCAGTTAAGCATTGTTGAGCAGTTTGTATCACTTGTTTCCAGAGATCTTCAAAGTAGCTTTTAATCGCTACAGTCTGGAGAACTTCAGCTAAATCTACAGCTAAACCTAAATCACAGACAGATTCTTTATTTATATACTTACATACACTTTTTAATGACAATAACGCAAACTAATATGCCGCAATCAGGTGGATTGCTCCCTGTGAGTTGCTCCCCGAAGCGATGGAGATTGAGTATCTTATGATCCTGTTCAAGAGTGACAGAAAATGGAGTGTGACATGGACGGACAGATTGGTGCAGCATCCGTATTAATATGGGCATTCTACAGGACGGTCTTTGTGGAGAAGGAGCTGAGCCGCAAGGTAAAGCTCTTGATTTTCAAGTTGATCTACGCTCCATCGATTCAGCTATGGTTATGAGCTGGCCTGGGAATGCCTCAACATTCGCCAGGGTGAACTGGAAACCATTACTGAAAAGGGGGAAGTTTGGAACAACCTGCTGAGCATGTTGTCACTGTGCGTGCCCCCAAATAAGTGGAAGAAGAAATGGATGGAATAATATAAATAGTTTGAATTGCTTCAAAGTCCATGTAACTACTTTCAGGTTGTTCAGGACTACTTGGCTGTATGCTGTTGAATAGAGGTGGCTTTGTTGTTAAAATACATTTTTATGGGAACGTCAGAGAAATGTTTCTGCAAAAGAATTCTGCTAGAATAGTTGTAGTTACTGGCTGTAACACCAGTTATAGGGACATGATACCAGCCGGATGTTAGTGTGTGGTGGCTGTGGCCGCCTTGAGCCACTTTCCCTGCATCTGTGCCTCCTTCTTTTTCTCTTCTTGCTTTCTGTTCATAGTGGAATTGCACAAATGAATCCTGCTTTTCTCTCTTCTTGTCAACACTGAACACAATAAGAATGGAGAAAGCCCACCAGAGGTCCAATGCTTACATTCAGTGGGTTTAGCACCAACATTTTGACTGTGTAGAAAAGCCGATTAAAACATGTGAGTTAAGCTGTCCAGCTTTAAAGATACAAAGCACTAGCTCGATCATTTTATTTGTGTCCACTTTTGGTTGTAACATTTGACTTCCCTTGTTTTTCAGTCACTTGGTTGTTTAATCTTTTGAAAAGGCTCACATATTTGTCTTTAGCCAGTTAGTAATGATGAAAAGGGTCTTTACTGTAAGAGTAAAACAGGCCTTAGTCACAGCCTTGTCAGGGCTGCCATAGGCTGCTTTCAGTATTTTATCTGGCAAAACAAAGGAAGAGTCTGAGCCTTTCTGCTGCTGTAGCAATACGTCAACCTGATGGCCTCTTTAGTTAACGATGCATTCCAGTAGACGTGAAAAAGCCAGATTACTTTTAGGACCATCTTTGTGTCTCTTTAAATATGGCAGGTGAGTTGTTGTGAAATCAGAGGCCATCACCAGTGATGAGCTAATGTCTGTGTGATGACTTCATACAGGAAGTCTAAATAAGCTTTGGATGAGAGCAATATAGGTTTACCCCTGGGAATGGAGCAGAGGATGCCTCCCTCCTTCTCCTCCTCTCTGTCTGTCTGTATCCTCCTCTGCCCATCAGTGAGAGGCAGGATGACTCAAGTGTGGAGGACAGAAAAGCTGAATGACCCCTTGTCATGAATGGGTTTGAGGGAAGCGAGTGGCGCCACAGCCGCCCTTGTGATGTGAAACTAGCAGCAAAGGTCTTATGTGTAGGAATTTAAAAGCCTCAGCCTGATTTTCTCTCAAAGTAATAGTAGCTTGTTAATATGTTGTCTGTTGGTAACATTTGGAGTCTCACCTCTATCTAAATAATCCTCTTACTTGTAAGAGTCTCCAGGATTGAGCTGGAGTTTGTTTAGTTTGGTGGTAAACCCTGCTTCATTTCAAACCCCTCCTCAGCCTGTCACTTTTTTTCGTGGGGGAAGGGAGGTGGTGGGTTGTGTTGAAAAGTAGCACTTGCTGGTATTGTTCAGTGGAAGCTCCTTATCCTGGGGGCTCTGTTTGAATTGGAAGGTGGGGGGTGGAGGAAAGAGAGAGAGAAGGAGGGAGTCTGGCAGAGAGGATGGAGGAGTTTGGTATTCTGCTCTGCCTCCCAGACAAAACTTTCTCATCTCTCTTTCCCTCACAAACACTTTGACTCTGTGAGAAAAAGGAGGATCTTTGAATGGTTTGTAGTAATTCAACTACGCTCTGATAAATGAGTAAATAAGAAAAGAGGGAAAGTTAAACCGTTTGAAATTTATCACCAATGCTGGTTTGACTTTCTGTCTTTGCAACATCAGAAAGTGGTATAAACTAGAAAATATGTACAGTTGAAAGAACACAACACTGAAAGATTTACTGATAGAGGAGGGGATGAGCCAGGGAGAGATAGGGTCAAAGAGAGGGAGAGAGTTGTGCATGTGTGAGAGTGTATGTGTGAGTGTCTCCATGGTGATGTGTCTCTGCTCTGCGTGAGAATGGGGGTCCTTTATTGGTTGCCATGTCAACCCCGTCGGCTGTCGATTGGCCGTGAGCTGGTGCCAGGTCATAGGTCACCGAGGTGTCTTTGTATTCTTCTCGTCCAAACAGTGTCTACTGCCGATGTATGTGTGGTTTTATACTGGGACTGCAGGCAGTCAGAAAAAGAAAGAACAAAAAAAACCTTTTACGTTTCCTTTTTCCCTTTGCTTCCTTCTCTACTTCCCTACTCCTCCTTTTTCCTAACTTCTTGTCCTCTACAACTCCTCTCTTCCCACCTCTTTTCTTGTGTCCCATCACTTCCTTACTCTTGGCTCTGTACACCTTACACTTCTTCCATCTTTTCCTTCACTTCCTTATCCAACTTTATCCACTCATCCCTTCTTCTTTCCTCCTCCCTCATTGTTCTCCTCTCTGTAGGAAAGTTCAAGCTGCTGGATGAAGACCGGGACGTCAGGGACCCTGTCCAGTATTTCTCCAGTGTGGAGGAAGTTGCTGGAGTCTTCCCTGACCGGGTCTTTGTCATGGAGATGATCACTTTCAGTGTCAAGGTTAGCGCCGCTCACTTCAGTTTTGGCACCGCAGGGGCCTGTTCCATAAAGCCAGTTTGCCAGATAAGCCAGGATTGTTTTAATTAGTCTGGCTTACTTTAGTCTGGCTCTTTTGGTTAGGGTTAGGGTAACTCAGTTACTTATATACATAGTAACTTAATTACTGAATTCAATTAGAAATTATAGATAAATTGCGCAATAATAAATTACTTAGAAGTACACATAGCAAAATATGTGATATATAAGATTTATGCTTATGCCACATAAAATAAGTCTCAATCTAAATAGTCCAAATAAAATGATAATAGCTGCCTAAATCCTTAACTGTATAACTGCGAATAAAGAGGCTATACTCTTTTTTTCAGTCTTTTTTTCAAAGATGGTATGTGAGGAGAAATTAGAGGAAGCATGAAAACCATGTTTAAAAGTGTATTGGTCAATACATTTAAAACAAAGCTGGAAAATTTAACAAAACATATCCTGCATCTACCACCACCAATAAAGGGATACACAGTGATTAACAAAAAGGGTTTAGGTCCTCATTTAAAGACATAGATTAATTCATGAAAAAAAAAAACATTGACCAACTGACCACATCTAAGTTTGTTTTCCTTGCCATCTGGCAGTGAGCACTATTACAGATATATGAAAAATTAATACGTTCTCTAATAATGGTTGCTGATTGGTTGCCATGAAAATCCTGCTTACTGCTGTTTGCTATTATGGATCAACTTGATCCATGTTCAAACTCTTGGGCTATTTAACAATAACATGCACGTGTAATTATTATGACTACTCGAACCTGGAATTAGCCTGATAGCATTAACCTGAATTGACCATTATGGAACTGCTTTAGCCCCAAGATTGTTAGGTTGTTTCAAGTCACATGTTGGACTAGGTGTTTTATAGAATAGGTCCCTGCAATGCATTTCCACTTGTGTTTTGCTCTATTGAACTTGTAATTGCATGCAGTTCTATATCTTGGGTTGTCTGATCATAGCAGGTCAATTTACATACGCATGTATGTGTGTCCTGTAGGTGGTTTCAGGGGAGTTCAGTGAGGACAGTGAGCCCTACAGCTTCACTCTGCAGGCTGGAGATGAGCTGTCACTGATGGGGAAGGCGGAGCTTCTCTGTGCCACACCCTCTAAGGAAAAGACAGGACTGAGTGCACTTCTGAGACGCCTGGGAAAAACCCCTAGAAGTAAGTAATGGCAAAATACAAAATTGTATTAAGTCCTGTTTCCGTGGTTACACATGCACATCAGAATGGGGAAAAGTGAATCAGTGACATCACTGGCAATACTGAAGGTTATTGATTTTTATTCCTCTATGGAAAATGACCTCTATTTTGTATGTAGTCTTTTTTACAAAGTACAAAAAAAAATACAAATAAATTACGAGTTTGCGTACCATAAAAAGAGGCTAGCATTTTTTCAACTCTACATCCCACAAACATTCACTCCATCTTTAACTCACGTCTGGTTCCAGCAGACTTGCAGGTTGTTAGCCTTGACCATGCAGTTGTGCATAGGTGGCTTACAGAAATAATGAAGTCAGACACATTTTCAGTCAGTGTCATGTTCGTGATACTCATAGACAGGACCTGAAGGCACAGCCGGATTGAAGAGAGTGTCTGATTTGGAAACCTCAGAGTTGCATCTCTGCTTTTTGCAGATGACGGGGTTCTGTTGTTTTCATCAGGCTGCGACCTTCAGTGTTGGTTTGCAGCTGAGTATGAAGCAGCTGAGAGTCAGCATCTCCAAGTCTGAGACCTTGGTTCTCTACCAGAAACCAGTGGATTGCTGTCTTTGAGTTGTTGGGGAGCTGCTGCCCCAAGCGAAGTTTAAGTATCTCACCTTATTGACAAGTGACAGAACATTTAGTGTGAGATGGACGGCTGGATTGATGCAGGCTGCTGTACTTGACTGTTGGAGTGAAGAAGGAGCTGAGCAACAAGACAAAGCTTTGGACTTACCAAATGATCTATAATCCGACCCTTACCTCATGATCTCTTGGTAGTAACTGAAATAATGACAGATATAGGGGGCTGAAATGAATTTTCTCTGTAGGGTGGCAGGTCCAACTTGGAGGAGACCCTGGGGTAGACTCAGAGCACGCTGGAGGAATTACATAACTCATCTGGCCTTGGAATACCTTTGAGTCCCCCAAGACAAACTCAAAGCAGTTGCTGGGGAGATGGATGCCTGGATTAACCTACTGAACCTGCAGCCATAGTGACTCAACTCTGGATAAGCAGAAGAAAATAAATGGATGTATTTATTTGGAAATTCAGGGATTTATCTTTCCAGTTTTTTTCATCCACCAAACTACAACACAGAGCACCACATTCTGCAACATTCTGCTCAATATTTGTTTCTAACATACATCATAACTATGCTTATTTTTTTAGATCTGAAGGTGCAGCAGTTTTGTTGAATAAAAAACTGATCATGTAATCATGCCAACGCTGCATTGTAGTATTATTTTGACACCTTGCTAATCCACATTGCTGTCTCTTTCTCTTCAGGTAAAACTCCCTGTCTGGTCTGTATGAACCATCGCACCAATCAGAGTGTCAGCCTACCCTTTGGCTGCCGTGGACGCTTTTGCACACGCTCCCCCCTGGAGCAAGGCATGCTGGGAGGGGAGCACACGGTGCGCAGCATTATTGAGAGAGTTCGCCTCCCTGTCAATGTGTCTGTACCATCACGGCCACCACGAAACCCCTACGACCGCCATGCGGTGCGAGAGGGCCACCGCTACAAGCTGCTCAACATCGTCAGCAAAACGGTGGTGCTCTGCATGGTGCTCCGCCGACAAGAGGTCTCCCCCTCCCACTTCTTGCTGCTGCGTTGCATGCCCCGGTTTAATGTGGCCGAGGCCTCCGTCCACACAGCAGCGCTGGAGAGCCTTCTGCTGCGACATGCATTCGACCCAGACGCCTACTCCCGTGCTGTTAGAGAAACCCGTCCGGAGTTGGAGTGCATGACAGAGGAGTGTGTGAGCCCACGGCGCTCTCGCATGTGTGTGTCAGGTCAGGACTCGCTGGCACCGGCACTGCAGCGCCTGTCAATGTGCGGGTATGTTGGTGGGGTTTCAGACAGCATGTCACAGCGCTGCAGGGACTCTCTTGGAGAACGGCTGGGGGAGGGACCAGGTGAGGAGAGGGAGTATGTGACTCCTGAGTGGACTGAGGCTGAACTGAGGACCAGTGAGGAAATCCCTTATGAGGAACTCTGGACCAATCAGAATGCAGAGGGCTTGGGAAAGGAGCCAAACCTCATATCCTTCCATTCGTCTTCCTCATTGGACGGTTCTGTTGGTACTGTGGTGGCAAGAGTGTCTACCCCACCACCTGTACCTCCCAAATCTGATGCTGTGAGTTTCAGTCCTCACCTCTTGTCCTTCTCTTCATCATTCTGTCTCTCATCCTTCTTATCTGTCCACAACAGCATCCGGCTGTTAAAAGTCAGGATGCCTGGCTTGAATTATTCATACATTACAGCTTTTAAACCTCACTGACACACTCAAACACACAAACACGCACTGACTTCCAGGAAATGCTGCCATACGCTCACTGCCCCTCTTATTACAATACATGAATACATACATGCATGCGTACTGGCATGTCACGGTGAACCTCGTAGCCAACGAGCAGCTCAACCCGAAACAGTGCACAGGAAACATCTATACAATAACTCAATAAATGGTACACAGCCAGCTTATTGTGATTGGTATATGGGTTTAATACTGGTGAAGTCTTTGGTATCAAGATTAATCAAATTATTATTGATTTTCTGATAAAATGGGGCCACAAAGCAGCAGTCTATTTATTTTCATTGACTAGACAAAAGAACACAAGGTGTCATAGTACTTAGTTTTTAAAGCTTTAATCTGGAGTACTTTTTTTGTTTTGCTGTGGTTGCTGTGTATCAGCTGTGCACCTTCCAAAAATCATTTCTGTATCAAACAAGGTGGGTGGTTTTTATTGATATAAAAATTATTGATTGCTTAATTTGTGAATTATTTTGTCAAATCAGAGACTGCATGGGGAAAAATGGTTGTTGACAGGGTCTCAGAGAGGTAAATGATGCCTTCACATTGCTTGTTTTGTCCCAACAGTACTCCAAACCACAAAGTTTAATTCAGTCCTGAAACGACACTGTAGAAAACTCTCAAACGTCAGACACAGGAAACAGCGAATATTTGACACATTTTGCCTTTATGAGTTTGTTACCAAAGTTGATAGATTAATCATTTAAGCCTGCTCTTTCTGAGCTGACATACAGTAAGGACTCCACTACAAACCAGAGTAGAGACAGTTACTCCGTATGTGAGCCTCACTCCTTCCTGAGCAGCCTGTGTCATGTTTTTTTGTTTTTTTTTAGGGTTTCAGGGGTTTCAGTCCACATTATAAGATAAAGAATTAGCAGCTGTATGACTGGTTAGAAAAGTCTAAGTGTCTCATACTTTTAACAGAGATTTAACAACAACTATTTCGTTTGCATTTCACGATTACAGCTGCTGGTGAAACAGGGATAAGCTAGGAAAGGTGACATGACCAGGCTTTTTTTTTATAAACAGTGGGCATTTGAACTCAATCTAGAATACTATTTATATTGGTGTTGGTGTTATTTAAAAATTACTTTTGTGCTTTTGTGGTAGCAGAACTACTCTTCTCCTACTGATTGAAAATGAATTCATCACCTCTTTTACAACACTGTTTTCCACTATAGGCTAAGCAACTAGTAAAACATGTAAACTCGCAGAAATTCAATTCAATTCAAATGGGCTTTATTACCATGAAAGTTTAAACATTGTTATGACCTGGCTCAAAACGGCCACAACAAAAGGACAGACACACCAAGAATAACAACAAAAGCTTGTTTTTGGTAACTTAAATCAATCCAAATAAAGCCAAAATAGTGCAAATAACTGCAACCAGCACTTGGGTAACCTGGGAACACCCACGGGTGCAAAATGACCTCAGGGGTCATCACAACCTTGAACCAGAATTCAACTTGTAATTACTGTGAAATGACATAGTTGAACTTGTTTGAGTAAAATGCCCCTGTTTTACTGAGTGTTTTACTTTGTAGGAGCAAGTGTTCATGTTGTGTAATTAGCTGTATTTGTACAAGTGTATTACTGTAATGTACTGTAAGCTGAGGGTTGTATGTGTACTGTCGAAGCTCATTCTTAACACCCTACTATGCATAGTTCATCATATCGTGTTAAATTTAAAGTGACTTGTACTTCCATATATGAAATTGCTTAAAAAAAAACAAAAAAAACACGTTTTTAACAGAGAAGGTGGAGGAGGTGTCAGGTTAAAAACATGATTAGCTCAGCTGTTCACGTTTTGCTACTGTAAGTTAATAGGTTTGTGTATAGGGTGTTTGTAAGAGTCATGTTGTCATGCTGTTGTTTTGTTTAATTAGTATTTCTTGTTTCAAAGTGTAGGCAGCAGTGCATGAAGGTTTGTGTGGGTGTTGTTATCTGCTCTGCAACTGGATTATACCCTGCCACACACGGTGTTCTTCATTCCCTGATATTTAGCCTGCCAAGACACTCTCTATAGTGTCTGTGTGTGTGTGTGTGTGTGTGTGTGTGTGTGTGTGTGTGTGTGTGTAAAGAGGCTGTGTGTGAGGGAGTTTGTTTGAGGTGTAAAGGTCACCAAGTTTGACATTTACCAAGCAGAACAAACACGCTCACATAAATCCTCCTGAGAAGTCAAGCTTCAGGAGTTAACTTTTTGTTGTTGTGTATCTTGTTGTTATGTGTGTGTAGGTGAGAGAGGAGTGTCGTTACTTGATCGCCCCTCCAGTTCCTCCTCGCTGCTCTAAAGGAGGCTCCATCTGCAGTCCAGCTCCCAGTCCTCCAGTTCCGCCTCGCTTCCCCAAAACCTCCACCTCCCCGAGACCAAACCTCTCCTTCTACTCGTCTGGACTGCAGGACAGGTACAGTATGCTTAGTTCTCACTCAAAACATGCAACAAATTACACTTGACATTATCAATAAATCATAACTTGATCTATTTGGAATTATTATTATTACGCCAGTTACTAAGAGGTTACTGAGAGTTAACGAACAACTGTAACCACAGTTTCTTCATAAAAGGAATGTCACCAAATTTCCTCCTTCTTGCTTTTTAACCCTATTCAGGACGTTCATGTTGTCATACTTAGAAGGTCCATTGGACCCCAAGAAAGAATATGTGCAAAATATTTGTTGGTATTCATTGTAGACTTTTATGCAATGTTAAATACATTTTCTGATAAGTTGATGTATTTTTGGTTCCAAATGCATGAAAAATGTCTCACTTTTTATATTAAAAGAAATCTTCCCAAAAAAAAAAAAAAACAACACCTGTCACCCAAACCAAATGGCCTGGGTCCAAAAGATCCCAAAAGTCCTGAATAGGGTTACACAGATAAAATATGGGAAGGAAGACAGACAAATAGGAACTTGCCCTAAACTTTATGCATGGACTTTGGAAACCATGTTTGAGAAAACAGTCTTTTTGTATTCAGAAAATTTGCTGTCCTCAAAAAGCACCTTTACAGAGAAACTTGTTTCTTGTTGCATTTCACCTCCTTAAACTTTTGAAATCGCTCTCCGGTCATTCATTTAACTTCTAAAAAAGCTCTTTGTATCAAAGTTACATATTTAGAGGTTTATTTTTCAGTGAAAATAATCCCTTATGACATTAAAATGTAGGTTGAGATCAAATTTATTTATAAAGCACATTTAAAAACCACAAGAGTTGAATCAAAGTGCCAACAAGAAAAAGTGGGTCTTCTAAAGTTTGAGCAGTTCTCACATGAAAAGGAGACCTGTTCAAGCTTTTGTAGCAGCCACTGTGAAGGCTCGATCGCTCCTGCTCATGTCAGGATCTCAGAACATCCAAGAACACCTGACTGGTCAACCTCCAACTTGGGTTATTATAATAAAAGCGTTCTCTTAGATAAGGTGGAACTGTAAAAACAAACAATAAAATCTTCAAATCAATCCTTAAACACACAAGCAGCCAGAAGAAGGAGGACAGTACTGGTGCTGTGATCACGCTTTGTTATTCACATTAGAAGATGAGCAGCAGCATTTCGTAAGAACTGCAGACACGGAGGAGACGACTGCTCTACACCCACATACAAATACAAACTATAGCCTGAATGGTAATGAAGGCATGCATAACTTTAAACATTACATCGTTGCTTGCTTTAGAATGTGTGGCTCTATGAATTTCCTGCTTTTCTCTCCACTTACAGCTGCTCGAGCACACCAGCTTACCTACGACTCTGCTTGAACACTTTGTAACTACCTGCACACTACATAAACTTGCAATGTCAGTCATACATGTTTAAACTGGAACCAGATGCTGAAGAAGAATGAGGACACAGAAAGTCCTGCTCTGGAAGTGGACAGAATTGTTTCTTTAGGTTTCTTACACATGAAATTCTGAAGCTTTTCAGACTGTCATGGGTACGCTGCAGTTTATGGTGGAAATGCTCAGCCAACATGTTCACTGCTCTTTTCAGACATATCTTCTAGCCTATATATATATATATATATAAAAAGCACTATATGAAAGCTTCTAAAAGTTCATAAAGAGCATAGGAGGAATGGAAATTTTCTGTGACAAATGGGTAAACTCCATCTGCTCATGATCCAGCAATGTGTCAAAATGTCAAAACAGCCACTATAAGGACTTTGTGTTTGATTGTTTTATCAGATATGTTACATTTGGTTGCAAAGGAAACATTTTTAGAAACTGTCAAGTTGCCATAGAAAAACTGTATCAACTGCATTTTAATGACAAACCATCATGTTTTTGGTTAAAACAGAAATATTGTTCTTTAAACACTTACTAATTGTTTGGCTAACTTAAGAACTTTTCACGTGACTTGTTGACAATGCTCTAAACAAAAAACTGTGTCCTAGAAGCTCATGCGACTTTCTTCTCTCCTGTCCAGCTGCTCCCCCTCTCCGGATGCCTCCCTGTACTGTTACCCGTGCTCCTGGGCAGACTGTCCTGCTCCTAACCCCACCAGTCCTGAGCCAGCCTCCGCCATCCCTGCAGACACCACAGCCCCTCCTCAGCCTGCACAGGCCACCTGGGCAGAGCCGTGGGCAGAATCCTTCACTTCCTCTGGACCTAGACTCAGGCCGCCACCTCCGCAGAGTCGGTTCGCTCCCTTCGGTGCGTTGAACCCCTTCAACCGTCAGTCCCCTTGCCCTTCGCCTGAGCCTGCTGCCAATCCCACCACAGATTCTTCCAGAGGTGCAGAGGGCGGTGGCTCATCTACAGGGGGCAGTGAGGGCTTGTCCCCACCCCCTGACCCCACCTGGCGGCCTCCTTCTGACCTCTCTGCACTATCGTTGGAGGAGGTGTCGGCCTGCCTACGATTCATTGGCCTATCAGAGGCAGCGGTGGCCGTGTTCCAGAGGGAGCGAATCGATGGCAGCCTCCTGGTGCAGCTCACTGAGGACATCCTGTCACATGACTTTCACCTGAGCCGACTCCACGTGACCAAGATCACGCAATTCATACAGGGCTGGAGGCCCAAAATCTAACACACACACTGTCCTGATAATGTGCCTGTTGGCTGCTGAGCCCTCCTGAATGTGCCTTCCACTGTGACAACTGGCTGCTGAGCCCCACTGACTGCAGCTGAAGGAACCACGCCACACTGTGGTCAAACTGTAGAACTGACACTTGACTGGCGTTCACGCTGAGTCTCTGACAGACTGACTGCATATGTCCTGTCTGAATCACAGACTGGGACTAGTTTACTAACAAATAGCTTCAACAGAGAGCTACATGATGACAGTGCCCTGTTTTGATTTGTCTTTGGGCAAAGAGCCAACCACAGTCATGCTACACAGACAGAAGGCAGAAAGGTTCCAGACACTGTGGATTTGTGTGGCCTTTCTGCTGTGGTTCCACGTATAATGTGACACGAGAGGAAAACTTTCCATCATTTAAAATATTTTGACAGATGAACAAAATTTCTGCAGTTTTTAGATATCGTATTATTTACACCACAGTAGGTGTTGGATGAACTTCAATTGAAGGTACATTAAGAAACCCACAGCCTCTATGGTTGACCAGTACGACACGTTATAACACAGATGGAACACTGAACCTGTCCCCTGCACAGGTCTGTTGCACAACCTTCTTCATCAGTCACATCCGGCTTCAGTGGCAGGTAATTGGTACAAATAACAAAATGAGAGATTCTTAGGAGATAAGAAAGAGCTCGATGTTTAAGACTGAATAAAAAAAAGAAAGTACGAAATTCAGAAATCTCAGCACTCAGTGAAGTTATTACTGAGGTTTTGGTCCTGATCAATGATTCGATGAACAATTTCTGAATACACACTATTCTGTATTTAGGCCGTTTTGTGCTTTGGGGCAGTGGCACTTTTATTAGCGTTCCCTTTAAGGGTAACACAAGAGTTCCTTGTGTCTGTAGTCATACACACAGTTATGTTGCCATACTGTAAGACAATATTCAACTCCCTCAGAAGTACCGTTCTCAAACCTCAGATTGCTTGTCCACATATGCACGATTTAGCCATGCATCATAATAAATGTCATCATACTGCATAATATGTTCACATAAGTATTGTTTTTAATTCATTACACACCAAAAAAGATCCAAACTCCCATAACAGGTCATACAATTATAAAAAATGGAAATGTTTTCACTAATTACAGAGACCAAATGATTAGTTGACTAATTGAAAAAATAATCAACAATCAAATTATTAATAAAAACTAGATCAAAGTGTTACCCAAAATAGTCAAGAAGTGAGAACATACACAAAACCAGAGCCTGTTTCCTTAGAGAGCAACAAAATAATGAGAAGGACTGAAAACTGTTGGTTCTAAATATTCTCAGACAGAGGGACAAATGTTTTTCTTTGGCTGTTCAAATGAAATGGAGCCCTGCTCTCTGAATTCATGCATGTCCTGTATAATTAGGAGGGTATCTACTTCTAGGTAGTGGTGATAGTAATGTTATATAACCAGGGACCGTAGCTTTAGCTACACTGAGGGTTATTTCTGCAACAAAGATCTTCCAAACAACTGTGAAAATGCAATTTATGTTGTTGTAAACTTGTTTATTAACACTTGTGATTCTCTTGTTGCCATACAAGCTGCTGTTCTCTCATAATGTCTGACATAATCTTCTTTAAATTCCATTAGATTCCCATAAATTTGATGGGCTGCAGCCAAGTGAAAAGCTGCCTACTGATGCCAGGTTTCTGAGAACTCGTTCTCATGATACGTCAGAAACCCCATGGTCTACGACACCCACGTAATACTGATGTACTCTCTGTAATCATGTAACTGCAAGGCCACTCTAAGAAGAGCAATGAAGAAATAAATGAGAGATTGCAAAATAAACAGAAACTAAATGACCTCAGACAATTTAATTCATCCTTCATTCATTGTTCTTGGTTTTGGGCACCTGGGGTCCACAACACGAAGACAGGAGATTCAGAGGGTGGATACATGAACAGTTATTGCATTTAAAGAAAATGATAACACAAAACAGCATCCCAGATCAGAGACATGGGCAGTGCTAAGGTCATCTAACCACATGCAGTCAGTAAACATAAAGGACAGGTTACAAAAGATAGCCAGTCCAAAATTAAAGAATAACATCATAAGACATCGTATTTCAGCCACCTGCAGTCATCTGGCCTTCACATAGACAAAGAAAGATGTGAGGAGTTTTAAATCTTAAACTGAAACTGTGACTCAGGTCCTTTACTTGTAAAAAAAAGTACATTACATTCATTTGAAAGTCCTTCATTTAAAATCTTATTTGGGCAACAGTACAGGAATGCCATCATATGTGTCAAAAGTAAAATCACCCTTTCTGCAGAAAAATGGAACTGGAGCTGGTTGAGGCTGGTGTGAACCAACTAATATCATATATATATTATATATAATATTCTTTACATACACAGCCTTAGAAACAAGTAATGCAACTAGTTTATTGGTTTCAAATCTAGGGGTTGGGTCCCTGCAAATGGTCACAAGATTGACCTGGGGGTAACTGGATGATTGTTCTAGACACAACTTTCTATTTGTTTTGAGACTTCTTGCTGATCTCAGCTTTTCTGTAAAATAAGAGAGTTTTACCTTTTGTGACCTCAAACAGTTACATGATTGAAATCATGTGATTAGTCAAAGAGGAGAACTACTTTTTGGTTAGGTTCATTTTTTACTATTTCAATTAATACATTTAGCGTATAAAATGTCTAATTACTTTTTAAAATATTAAACTTTGATTTGCAACAACCAGCAACCAAAGTTACTAAGAGTTAAAAAAACTACCAAAGGGTATAAAAATTCCCCTGAAACATAATAAATAGATATTTAACTTAATTATTTGCTAAGTGACAAAGCTAATGTTAGCATGCTGTTATATTAGCCGTTACCTTTTAAGACAGAAGAGTCAAAGATGTAATATTGCTGAAATAGTTGACCTGATACTTAATTTAAATGCTGTCAATTGATGATGAACCATGAAAAGACTTAAAGCATGACACAAAAAACACAATTTATCTATGCTTCCATATTACAGTAAAAAAAAAAAAAAAACATCCATCCATTATTATTATCCACTATCCAGCTGACTCAGGGTGAAGGCAGGGGACACCCTGGACAGGTCACCAGTCTATCACAAGGCTACACTTAGAGACAGACAATCAAGCACACTCACACTCACACCTACGCACAATTTAGAATCACCAATTAACCTCAGCATGTTTTTGGACTGAGGATATATAGGAAGCCGGAGAACCCAGAGAGAATATTAAAAAAACAAATTAGCTAATGATGCAGCCTCTGGACCACTAACCTCATCAAAACCATTAGCTGTCGGAGCTAGCCTAGCTTAGTAGGAATCCCCCCTCACTGTTGATTTTAGCAAGAATACACATTAAAAAAACAGTCAAATCCACAGAAGGAACACAGAGGATTGGCGGTCACATCTTTTATTGTCATTAGGCCAACTAGAAAACTGATTATTTTGTCACAGCTGTGATGCTGCAGCAGCTCCCTGTTTACATAGATGCTAGCTTTTGGCTGGACAGTGCTACAGATGTATTTTGATTGACATTCTTTTTTTATTATTATCTTAGACATCTTTTCATTTTTACTCAGTTGAAGCGTCTTAGTTGTTACAAAGAACTTAGAAAAGACAGACAAACTGGCAGTTAATTGCTGCTTCTCTTACGTTTGTATCTCAGCATTTCTGCAACCCCAGTGACAACACTTCCTCCGCAGGCACTTGAACACCTCAGAGAGAGCTCTCCAACATTAGAACTCATTACTGGAACAGGGAGGAGGCTCAGTTGTAAAACTTTTTGCTGGGATCCTTGGCGTGGTCTAGTAGAAGCTGGCAGGGTGTAAACTGGTTTCCATAAACATCCTCGTAGCGCCTCATAGTGCTCACAAGGCGCTCTGCACCAAATGTGTCTACAAACCTGAACGGACCTGATGGACACAGCATCAAAAAGACGAACACTTCAGAGGAAATACTTCAGAGCAGCAACACGACAAGATTTACAAATGAAACATTGTCTGACGTTATCACTGGTGATCTGCTAAATTCATAGAGGTAGAACATTTCTAATTGAAATCTGTCTTTAGCTCAGAATGTGTGTGTTTAAGTGTGAGACATACCGCCACGGGAGGGAGGGAAGCCATATCCGAACACAGCTCCGATGTCCCCCTCTACAGGGCTAGCTAGTACTCCCTCCTGGAGACACAGTATTGACTCATTTATGCAGCGAGACACCATGCGAAGCTGGATGTCGAAGTCAGACGAACTGCAACAAACACACATGATCATTTTTAGAGAGAACAATCAGAGCGAAGTACATCAGAACAGAGGCTTTCGTCTTACATTGCTAAAGGAGCTGGCACTCTGTATTTCTTGAGGATTTCTTCAACTTCAGGATTCACTCTCCGCTCCTCCCTTGTCGTTCCATAGATAGAGAAGCCTTTTTCACATTTACGACCTACAATTGATTTTAAAAAAAAGAAAAAGGATTGGACTTATGGCTGGACTATCTTCTTATGGTAACCTGCAGCAAAAACCTTGTTTTGCCCCTTTCATTTCACAGGCTCTCAGAAACCATCCAGTACCCTGCATGGGCCTGAAATCAACAGGTGAGAAATTTTTAATTATATATTAATTGTGTAGGGCAGCACGGTGGGGCAGTGGTTAGCACTGTCGCCTCACAGCTACAAAGTCTGGGATCTTTCTGCGTGGAGTTTGCTTGTTCTAACTGTGCAGCGTGGGTTCTCTCCGGGTTCTCCGGCTTCTTCCCACAGTCCAGAAACATGCTGAGGTTAATTGGTTATTCTGAATTTGCCCTAAATCAGCTGGGATAGAGTCCAGCTCCAATGCCATTTGAAATATCATATCGTATTGTATCATATCATATCATATCATATCATATCATATCATATCATATCATATCATATCATATCATATCATATCATATCATGTCGTTTGTCATTAATAAACTCAACGTTTTCATTTTTTTGGACTGTTAGACAAAATGTCCATACATCCATAAAGGTAAGATGTGCCACAACATACAATTCTAAATAAAGCTTTGTGGTGAAACAGATACTCATCAGCCTACAAATCATATTCCCCAGATGTAAGAGAACATGCTGGTTGGTTTGGTACCATCCACAGCAATTTGATAAAACACATGTATAACACATGAGCTCAAAATAAACTAATAATAACATTCAAGATGAGGGCCACGAGTTTCTAAAAAAAAATAAAAAATCAATGATTAATCAAATTATACAGACCTAAATAATATAAAGGCCAAGACTTATGGATTCCTGCACATTTGCCTGCTTTCCAAATTGGTAACCGAGCCTTGATTATGTGAGTCCACAATCACTACCAATACTGTAACAGTGAGTTGAAACAAGTCGTTTTTGAAGTTATTGCCTAAATGCTGTTTGTCATTGTTGGCCCAATATTTTCTAATTAACAAAAACATATAGTGCCTTAAAAAGCATTTACATCACATTTAAATGTTTGCAATTGTAATGTAATAAAGATGGAAAGAGGAAGCAAATGATTTTAGAAGCATGGAAAGCAGCCCATGTAACACATTGAATTTGTGAACTAAGAAAAGAAATAACCCATTATTCCAGTGTTCCACTGCTGTGTCTTACGCTGGTGGTTGGACTGTCTACCGCCAGCCATGGAACAAGCAAACACATTATGTATTATACAGCACATCTGATCATGTAATCATTTATCAGCTGCACTATGGGCCAGGCAATAATAAAATGCTCCGAAGCAGTAATCCAAATGTGAACACTTAAAAATAAGAAATGTGAAACAATACAGAAGACAGAGTGTTTTTACATCGTTTCTCACACAGTGTTTTACCTAGGAAGCCTTTTTCTACCATGGTCCTGACAATCTCCAAATTCCCCCCTTCATAACGAGGACCAAAGGCTTTGGACAGATTCTACACACAAACATATAAACACAAACACACCTTCATTAGTCTAGTGTGTACTATTTGTACATCACTGAAAACAATCTGGCCTATTTTCTTCTAATGAAGTTTAGAGGGATAATACACCACCTGCCCAAACAATCTAAGTCCATTCTAATTCAAAACATGAAGTACTCAGTAAACCATACATCATTACCTCTGATATATGTAACACTACGTCAATACCAACTTCATCAGCCACCACTGAGATTCCAGTGTGAAAACCAAAGCTTTCTGAAATGGCGTCCAGTCTCTTTAGCTCCACACCTTCCTGTGGATCAAAACATTGGTCATCTTAAACTATTGTCTGTCTGTCACACATGTGCTGAAAAAAAGAAATGCGAAAAAAGAAATCTAATCTCCAAATCAGAGTTGGGAGAAAATGTAAATTCTCTGTTTTGTGAATGAGTTACGGTTTCTGATCGCATTAAAGTGAAATCATTCAATTGCTGTTCCCCCAATCTCTGCATTTAAAAATCACTCCACTGCTGTAGTTAAACATTCATATGCAGATAATTTTGCACATGCATCTCTGGGTAATGCATCTTCAAGGGAATTCCACTAACTTTAATGTAATCAGAAATTTGATTGAGAAGAATAAAACAAAACATTAAACTACTTTTAATGGGACCTGATGGCCAACAATTTCCATATGGGGACAAAATATCACCAGCATTGTACAATATCTCAAGCCTTTGACTTTCTGAGGAACATTCTTACCTGAAATAGTCTTAAATATTCTAGAAAATTGTTCAATATACAGCGAACGATGTAGAATCCTGGGCCGTCCTGTGGTGGTCAGGCAGGGGAGAATGAGATGAGACACAGAAACACAAACCCAAAGATCAGTACGGTAGTAAACAATATGAAAACTGAGAAGGAAGTCACGTTCACACGTTAGCAAAAATGTTGATTGAAGCACATTTTCTGAGTTGCTCTCACCTTGACAATGATGATAACCTTCCCCTGTTTGAGGCCCACACTGACAGCAGACGCCAAGGTGTCTTTCGACGTCTTATCTGTGATGATGATCTCCAACAATTGCATCTTTTCCACTGGGGAGAAATAGTGCATGCCGATCACCTGCACATGCGCACACACAAAGACGTCGATCAATAAATCAACAGACAGAAAAAAAATATTGTGATTCCAGTTAAAAGCCATGAAATCAGCCATAATGCATTCTCACTGGAGGAAAAGCTAAGCTAGCTCTATGCTCAAGAATGCAAGTATGATAATGTTGACGTATGCTTGCAGAGCGTTCAAGTTAGTGGGTGACAGCATGTCTGACCTTCTCAGGGCGTTGGCTGGCAGCAGCAATGTCCTTGATGGGAAGAGCTGAGGTGTTGCTCGCAAAAATGCAGTGAGGAGGGACAATCTGTGGACGGAAAGGAAGGATAAATACAAACGGGTAAATCTAGGAACATTAAGGAGGGTAGTACATGAAGGTTTGGCCTGAAGGATTCTGTCCAAGAATCCAAGGGGCTGCAGGGTGGCACAGTTGGTAGCACTGGTGCCTTGCAGCAAGAAGGTCGCCGGTTCGCGTCTTTCTGCGTGGAGTTTGCATGTTCTCCCCGTGCAGCGTGGGTTCTCTCCGGGTTCTCCGGCTTCCTCCCACACAGATGAAAGAGATGTAAAGAAAGCAGAATAGAGGAGAAGAAGAGGAGGCAAGGTGAGGAGCAGGTGAGGAAGAGCAAAGAAAAGGGGAGATGTGGGTAAGTGGGGCGGGCATCTAGTATCATCTTGTCCCGGGCCCAGGGAAGGCTGTCAGCTGGCCTGTTCACACCTACAGACAATTTAGAATCACCAATTAACCTCAACATGTTCTTGGACTGTGGGAGGAAGCTGGAGAACCCACACTGCACGGGGAGAACATGCAAACTCAACGCAGAAAGATCCCGGGTGTCCACACCGGGACGCGAACCGGCAACCTTCTTGCTGTGAGGCAACAGTGCTAACCACTGCGTCACCTTGCAACTAAATCTAAAAAATTCTCAATAAAATATTATATGTAAAAGAAAAGTATAGAAGTGCTATGTAAATAAAAAACACTGTGTAAATTAATAAATTTGCCTAAACCAGACTAATAAATTAGAAAACAGTTGAAGTTACAGACTATGCTCCCTAGTGTTCAGCGCAGGAAATGCATTTCTTTAGAGATGGACGGAAACTTTGAGGCGGCTAATTTATCAGTTTTTGCCATCCAGTTTTATGGAATATGTGCATGAAGGATTACTGCAAGAAAAACAGACCAATGATTCATGGCGAGAAAAAAAGTGCCATGAGAAAGTGTTTGCCCCCTTCACGATGGCTTCTATTTTAGCATGTTTCTCAGACTAAAATGTTCCGGATCATTAAACTAATATTTATATTTATTTAATATTAGACATAGATAACCCACAAAATGCAATTTTAAAAAAATGAAATTTACTGAAAACCTATATCACCCCTGTGAAAATTCCCCCTAAACCTAATAACTGGTTGGGCATTGGGAAACAACAACTGCAGTTCAACGTTTGCGATAGCTTGTGATCAGTCATCACACCATGGAGGAATTTTGGCCCACTCTTTTCTGCAGAATAGTTTTAATTTAACCACATTAGATGGTTTTCGAGCATGAACTGCCCCTTTAAGATCTTCCCACAGCATCTCAATGGAAGTCGTCCACGTCCTGCATTGTAGGTGAGGAGGTTGACCTGTCAGAGGCAGCCAGGTTTGTGAAATATTTTGTTACAGGAAGTAAGAACCACTACAGTATGGGTGCACGCTGTACTTTACACAGCTAGCATATGTCAAACTGTGAAACAAGTTTCTTTTGAATCTATATTTACAGCAGCTGACTGTCAATATAGGTAAGCAAACAGCACACTGCAGTTGTTCCAAAATCCACTGCAAAATGGCAAAAGTTTACATTTTTCACTGACTCGAGGAAAATTCCATACTGATACAGAAAAAGGAAGGAGTTTCACAAACACATTGGGGCTTATGGAGGTCACGGTGGGAATAAATGGAGTTCTGAGTGAATTGAAGTGTAAGACTGCACTCACCGCTTCCACCTCCTTGACGACTTTAGTCTTAAGGTTGATGTCCTCAAACACAGCCTCTATAACCATGTCAGCAGACTCAAAACCAGAGTAGTCAGTCTGGACTGAAAGATTGGACATCATGGTGTCACGCTCAAACGATGTCATGGCTTTCCTCTTCACCTTGGTGTCGAGACTGAAGACAGAACATTTGGAAAATAATACTTCACATCAGAGTCCCTTCTGTTCTTCTGAGTTGTTGTGTAAGCCACTTGCTCTGAGCATGTTTAAGGAATGATGAAATGCAAAGTTGCATGTGTTGAATACCTTTGGTAGATCTTTTCGTGCCCTCTACTGAGGGAGTCCACTGTGGTGTCCTTTAGGATGGTGGTGAAGCCTTTATCAATTGATACCTGGGCTATACCGGTACCCATCAGCCCTGCACCCAGGATAGCCAGCCTCCTGATGCACAAAACATATTGTATAGGTGTGTAATTGTTACTGAGGCAATACAGTGAATGTTTGTGGAGGTACTGACTCTTACTTTACTTCCTTCTCTGGGGGCCCAAGTTGGTTCTTCCTACAAGCCACGTGACCGTGGTAAACTCCAATCATGGCTTTGGACTCAGAAGTCATTGCCAGCTTCCCAAAGTTCTGCGTAAGACACAAATATTGTCATTGTCTCTTAAGTGTTCCATTTTTATGTTTGTTCTTCCACTGTGTTTCTAAGTGTTCTCCTTTACCCCATGTCTTCTGCTTTTTCTTGTCCCCTCTGTCTATGTATAAGTTCCACATCTCTGTTTTTACAAGCTACTTACCTTCTGTTTCTGTTGTTTTTGATTCCACCTTTTAAGTGCCTTTCCTACCTTTCTGATTGTCTGCCCCACCCTTAGTAGTCTCACCTCTGTCTGTTGGTTTAAATTATGCTAACATGTCACCTTGCTTCCATGGTTCAATCCCAATCTCCACCTTGAGGCCTGAGCCATCAAACCCTCAAAAAGTTGTGTTTAAATTCATGAGGACTCAAAATGATATTAAAAGAAGGAGGCTGCAATTTAGGGCATACGAGGTGTGGCAAGGGAGGACAGAAGGAAGCATAAGTCAGTATTATGAAAAGCACCCATAGTCCTGCATCTTCCCCTGTCAGTTGTCAGTTCTTCTGCTTACCTTCCTATGTTTGTGCATGGTTCCCTGTGTCTTTGCTTCCAAGTATTTGGTTTACCTTTTTGTTTTCTCTTGCTTGTTTCTTGCTCTGCTCGTTGCTTGAACCCTATTTTGTTGGACCTGACCTTTGCTGGGTGATGCCTCAGTGTTTTTCCCATGCTCTTCAGCTCTCTTCAGTTGTAGTTTATTCTCCTGCTAGTTTTAGTGTCTTCACCAGTTTCATTTAAATGTACTCCTTTGTTCCTTCTACCTGCTCTTGCATAATGCGCCCTGCATTTGGTTCCTCTTCCCTGCACAGTGAACATATCAAAAATTGACTACAGCTTAGCAGACACACGAAGACTGTAACATAAAAACCTTCATCTTCAATCTTATTACTGAAACCTGACAGATAAATTGTTAACCTGGAAAGAAATACCAATCATTCTTTTTTTTTGTTGTTGTAAAAATATTGATGTAAAATGTATCTATATACCCAAGGAAAAGAAAAAAAGTATTTTTACAATACTTTTTGATGGCTCACCTCAGCTTCAGCCAGATAACCTGCCTCTCTGCCCTGCTCCATGCCAGTCTGGACGCACTGCACATGAACACAGAAAACAGAGAGTGACATACATAGCAGCAACATCATGTGCAATTGTATATATGTTCTGTTTCTTTCCATTTGTGAGTGCCGTACCTCAATGATTTTGTTTGGAGCAGGGTAGATATTTTTAGTTTCTTTCAGAACCCTCTCACTGACTGTCTTGTAGATCTTCTTCCTTACTGGACCCAGATCCATCACTGCGTCCTGCAGCTCTGCACAGAAAGACAATCACAGCTTACAGGTGTCGACTAATTTTGTGTTAAACATGTTTTTGGAGCCTGCTCTGTATTTGTGAGAAGCTGATATTATTTGCCATTGTTTTACAATGAATGTGTTAGCTGATTGGTTAATAAGAAAATGCAGAAGAGCACAGTTTTTCAAAGTCTGGCACCAATGCATAAATGTTCTATCTTTTGGAAAGCGCAATGAGATGACTTGTTGTTGTAAATATGCGCTGTACAAATAAAATTGAATTTAATTGAATTTAATTGAAATACAGTTGGTGCTTTTGGCAAAGTAGCAACATATAAGCAGAAAAAAAATAGCAAACTTTTTTCCTGGTGCAGGTCTAGCACCAAAATGTTGCCACAATAAATGTGTCTTTGCAAGTTAGACAGTGTGCAAGAGACTTTTTGAATATTTTGGATATGCTCGTCCCTCACCAGCCTCATTAAATGGATGTGCAAGGAGTTCCTTTGATTTAAAAGTCGCGACATTAAAAGTATGTCACATTATATACACTGCTTCATCCTCTGTAGGGGCTGTAGACTATCCCAGCCGACTCAGGGCGAAGGCAGGGGACACCCTGGACAGGTCACCAGTCTATCACAGGGCTACACTTAGAGACAGACAACCAAGCACACTCATATTCGCACCTACGGACATTTTGGAATCACTAATTAACCTCAACATGTTTTTGGACTGTGGGAGGAAGCTGGAGAACCTGGAGAGAACCCACGCTGCAAGAACACGCAAAACTCCACTCAGAAAGATCCCGGACCTTTCAGCTGTGAAGCGACAGTGCTAACCACTTATCAGAATTAAGGATATCTGTGGAAACGATAAGTCACTCTAAATCCGAGAACATCTGCACCATGTCAGTGTGATAAGATCTGACAGAGTTAGAGGTCACATGTTGCTACTTGTAAATATCAAGTCTGTCTGTCTTATATGAAAAATGTTTGTATCTGATTGGAATCCTCCAGAGATAGAAGTTGATAATCAACCTTGTTATACTATGTGAACCAGACAGCAGCATAGGAACAACAATGTTAGCATCACTATCAGGTAACCCAAAGGAAGCCATGCAAAGTTGAAATAAGACCATTTCCCACTACATAACCTTGTGGGCCATGTTGAGCCTCTTTCAGGGTCATTTTCTGGGATGAAAAATGCACCAATGCAGGTTGGTTCTCCTGAAAAAACTGCTGGGCAGTTGTCAATGCTGATTGACTAAACTCAGAGGAGACAACAAGCGCCTGTGTTAAATATCAGTCTTCTCTTGTCTACGTTGCCATCTTAAGCATAAAATTCAGCTTATAGGCCAACATAACAAACCTCTACTGTTCTATTTCCTCAAGGAGTTATGTTCAGTTGTTTCTCTTTCGGTTTAGAGTCAGCGTTGCGGTCGAAGTTCTGGACTCTACCCTGTAATGGAACCTAAACAGAAACACCTATAGAGCAGATTACAGGCCTCCAGTAAACATCGGTACCATCTCGTGCCTGGCCCAAGTTCCTGCAGTGGACAGTCACCCATCCACTCGACACCAGAAGCAAATAGAATTGTCTGAGATGACACCATCCACAACACAAGTTTAGTAGTTAACTGATTTTGATGGTATTGCTTGGTGTCAGTTATTTGCTACTGAGAAACCTTAATCCTAAACTTAATGTCCATGCTGAAGTCTTAGTTAATCAGACAGTGATTGATGTTTTCCGAAGTGTTAAAACATTAGTGTTCAGAACACTAGAGAGGTTGTAGTGTGCAACATGAGTTTCTAAACACTACAGGACACAGCACTGCAGCATGTTGGAAAAAGAAGAGCCTCAGCTACCTCTGTATAGGCTCTGTTGAAATAGTATAACCACAAGGTTGGTATGTCACGTCTTAACAAGCGGATTGCTTCATGGTGCAAGTCCCTGGTGAGGTGAGAGCAACCATTGTAAACCAGTCTTTACTCACTCTGCATGAAGCTTTTCTCCTTAGTAAGGGGAATCTTTTTGTTAGCGATTTGCTTGGCAACATCCACTGCGACTTCTTCAAGGTATTCGATGGTCCTGTCCCCAGGTTTCAGACCAGGACCTGAAATAAATGAACGCAGAGAGCGCAACAGACAATGAAATCGCATCATCAGTTTACTCAGTCTTGAGTTTCTTAAAAGAGTTCCATTTCCTCCCAGCCTGTCCCAAAAGATTACAGCAGCAAACTAGTACTATCTTTCTCATGAGGTACATTGAAGAAATGTCACATGTAGAACGCACCCAGAGGGTCCACAAGCTGCTGCACTAGACCCATCTTCTTAGCTTTTTCAGCCCTGATGTTCTTGCCCGTCAGCATCATGTCAAAGGCCCCTGGGAGACCCACCTACACATGTGCAACAGGAGGAATGCAGATATGGTGAGCTGATATTGGCCCAAATGAGCCTCTTGACCTTAATATACTCCAGTGTAACTTAGTAGCCACCAGCACAAGACTGTGGCATTGCTTTCATGCCTTTAACTGTGTAACTGATTAATATGAGTGTGTGTATGTATACCATTTTAGGCAGTCTCTGAGTGCCGCCTGCTCCAGGCAGCAGTCCCAGCATGACCTCTGGTGTCCCCAGGACAGTTTTCTTGCTTTTTGTGGCAATTCTGTACTGGCAGGCTATAGCGAGCTACAGGAAAAAGTAACAAGATCAGGACTTATTGCTCAAATCTCAGGCCACATAAGCAACATTTTTATACCTAATCTAACTCATTCTGTCACACCCACACACAGTGTCGTACCTCGAGGCCTCCACCCAGACATGAGCCATGGATGGCAGCGACAATAGGGATGGGAGATTTCTCAATTTTCTCCAACATCTTTTGACCTTCCCTGGAGAGACGGGTGACCTCCTCACTGCTCTTACAGGCCTGGATCATTCTGAGAGCGAGGAAGTACATTTTTTAAGTTTAATAAATCAAAAGTTCAGTTCAGTTCATTAAGCACAGGACACATATCTAATTTTATTAAATTATTAGTGACTTTTCTTTAACCCTATTCAGGACGTTTGGGGTCTTTTGGACCCCAGGCCATTTGGTTTGGGTGACAGGTATTGTTTTTTCATTTTTGAAGATTTTTTTAAAATAAAAAAGGGACATTCGTTATGCATTTGGAACCAGAAATGTGTCAACTTATCAGAAAATTTTTTTAACACAGTATAGAAATCGATAATGAATACCAACAAATATTTTGCACATATTCTCTCTTGGGGTCCAATGGACCCCGAAAGACCTTCAATCCTGTCGTTCGCAGTTTTGCACTTTTTCACTCTGGTTCCAACCACACACAAGTGTAGGAGTGACCACACACACAAGAATCATCCTTCCTCAAGCCCTAATAAGCCTACTTGATATCTGCCCCGGCGATGAAGCAGCCAGGTTTTCTGGAGATGAAAACAGCACTTTTTACGCCCCCATTCGACCAGATCTCCCCCATCACCTCAGTCAGCTCCGACTGCATCTGCAGCGACAGTGTGTTCACCTGCACGCACACAAACACATTCACATAAATGCACACATACTGATTAATCATGTCACATCTGTCAGTGCTAGACTGAGACAGGGACAGGTAGTCAAGACTGTCACAAACATAATCTCTCTCTGACACATATGCACTGTCTCATACTCTTCCACAAACACACACCCACACAGACACACCGCACACACCTTGGCTGTTGGATCATTGAGTCGTATAACTGCCACATCATCCTTGAGCTCGTAGCTGACATGTGTTCGGGCTTGATGGAGAGAACAGTAAAAAAGATGAGAGACAGTCAATCAGCGGGCCACCACTATTGTATTATGCTAATTTCTGCTAGTTTAACACTATCCCTGGAGAATGTAAATACTATAGTGCAACTACACTTAACCAGTGTGAATACACTTGGGTGTATTGGGAACTGTTGGAGCTAAACAGGCCACAAAAGCAAAGCCTGCCACCAGCTGAACTGTGACTAAATGAAAAGTGCATGTTTTTAAAGAAACTAATACCCAAGTCCAAATCTATGTGGCCTAATAGTGAACAGCAGATACTGAACTGCCAAACTGCTCGAGGCTACGATTCCCTGTCAGGGTATGTACTGTTGGACTGATGGTATCTGTGATGTTCCCTGATATCATCACTGGTTCCATCACTAAGGAAGCGATATGTTTTGTTTTCAGGGCTTATACCAAAACCAATTATCAGTAATCAAAGAGATCAATAACTAACACATGGAACTGGCACATATTTGCAGCTAGCATTTTGAACAGCATAAACGCAACACAAAACTTTGTTGAAATGCCTTTTTTTTAAATTCATGTTTTAAATGAGTTTATTTAAAACTGAACTTTTCAGCATTTATTCTTCACGAGTCATTATGGAAACATGTAATCAATCAGATAGTGTGGGACATTTCTCAAGACCACAGATTGACTCCAGCTAGAGCGGACTAAAGCATTTTTGAACAAATGTATTTTGATATGAAATCTGTGAAAAAAAAAATACTATTGATCAGAAATGGCTAAATATCCGATCTAGTTAATGGCCAGGCCAATAATCAGTCAATCCCTAGTAAACAATACACCTGAGAACAGCAGCTTGGAGTGAGTGGTTCTCTGTTTGTCCTGTGTATGTCAACCCATTATCGATGTTTAGCATTTTTATATTATCGGTCACTCTGGGGTCTTGAACTATGTCCCACCCACAGCACCATGTGACTGGTTACATGTGATGAGGAATAACCTGTCAACAGTGAAGGAGAATGTTGTAAAATTCTCTGAACATATGTAAAACACTTCAACAGAGTTTTGTACTGGAGTTTGTCATGTGTACATTTTAATACCAAGACTTTCTTTCCTTTTTTAAAATTTTTTTTTTTTTTATCAGTTTCAAATGTCTGCTATTGGTCTCCTTCATTATTTATATTTTAGCATCAGCATAAAGAACCATACCAGTTGACCCCTAATGCTGGTAATACATTATTGACGATAGTTTCACACTTATCTATAGATGGTAGTCACGAGTTAGGACACACAGCAATAATCCAACAAGGCAGAGAAGAAGAAGAACAAGACAGATGGTGAGGATAAATTGTAGCAATACAGGTTTTTAAATAAAATTGTTTTGTAAATGTTTGATGAGGAAGGAAAAGCCTTCAGCATGTCTGTTTGACCTAAAGGATGGCCACAATGCATTTTCAAGAGTCAACATCGTGTGCAAACATAACTTTTGTGTATATAGAGGAAAACTGCTCAGGGCAGCTTTAAGTCAGTGGTTATAATAACCATGTTACCATTTAAGCTAACTTTGAGGAAAAAAGATCTATTACAGGATGATGTTGCTGGGCTATGGGATATTTATCTATCTCCTTTAATATTTCAACACCTGGTTTTGGAATGTTGTCTAAGTAAATTCAAAATTTTCTTAAATGGCCTGAAAGGTGTGTAAATCATTGGTGTGACCTCAGTAATGTAATATTTATGATGTGGTTTATTGTTTTTTTAAAAAAAAGATATATATATATATATATATATATATATATATACTATTATAATTTACATATATATGTTGTCCCCAGGAGATAAATGAGGTTATTTAAATTGATTTGTATTGACTTAATTCATGTACATTAGGTGGACAAATCCCCATTAAACCCTTTTTTACCTGCCAAAGATGAAGACACTGAGAGGTTTCGGCTGATGTGACCTAAGAACAGAGAGAGACATGGACATACATACAGCATACACTGGATAGTACTCGAGGCTTGAATGTACGGCTGCAAGACACACTTATTCATATTACTGATTAACATGAGATCAATATTTCTGTTTAACACCACTGCGTTTAACACTCCTAAGGACGTATCCTCAGACTGTTTGGTTTCTTAAATCCACAAGTACAACAATGACTAATGATATAAAATGCAGAAAAGCTGCAAGTACCTACATTAGACTTGAGCTGAGACATTTGTTAGTTAGTTTATTGACAGAAAACTACTCATTTAGCCAGCAAAATAAAAATAATTCTCATGTTCCACATTCTCAAATAGCAGGATTTGCTGCTTATCTTTGTCATGCATAATAATTAAGTGAACACCTCAATCATTTGGATAATAATGTCCCAAAGTATCAGAAACCTAGATAAAGATCAGTCATGAAAATAGCTGTCAGTTGTTTCTCTATATTTGACAAACTGACACTTGAGAAAACTTTAAAAAAATTGTTTAAGTATTGAAATTGTTTGTGTTCATTTTATTGGTGTCATCATTAGTTTATCTAATTCATTTAACTATTCAAGCTCATTCTTTCCACTGTGTGCATCCAGAACGTTTATTACATCATTTTCCTGTATCCTCTGTGTAATATGTTACACCTGAATATAATGCATTAGACAGTCAAGAGTACCAATGAATGTTTGGCGCAATTCATAATAGCTTTTAACCACTTAAGTAAGAATATTTAAAAATCATAGTGTGGTCAATTTTAAGAACAATTTCACAAAATATTTTACTTAGTTTAAATTTAACAAAAAAAACAAAAAAAAAACACTGACATGTTTAAGTATATTTCTAAAAAAAAGAACACAAAAAAACTCCAACTATGCCATGACCAGTGAAATTGCCTCTAGTAAAGTAAACGTTGAATTAGTAATTTTGTGTCACATACCTGACAGTAAAGGATATTTGCTCGTTGCAAACTTGGAAAAGACGCAGGCTGCACGACTAACAGCCATCTTCACCAGTGTCTGAACCTGAAACTTCAGCGGCAGCAGGGTGTGTCTGCACAGCTGGAGGCTGCACTCTCAGGACCCGCACCGACAGGACCGCACTTCCAGGACCGCACACTTCTTCTATGGCCACACATTGACAGCTTTTTTGGTTTAGACAGCACCACCTACCGCAATGGATGATCACTATGGTGCACGACTTAGTTTTAAAGGAAGATTTCACTCAAAATATACTTCATTAAAGGACTATTCCACAGAATGTGCCACTTCATGTCCAAGTAGTTCTAATATTAACAGTTTATTCCACCCAAACAATGCTTTTTCACTAACAAGTCAAGGTTTGAGAGGTTTATTACACCCAAAAAACTACTTATTACCCTAATAATGATAACTTGGTTGCTCAGAATTGCATTTGGACAAACTGTGTAATTGACATACGTGTGTCATGATCAGGTGAAATAACGCTACAATCATTTGTTTTGGCCTCTGTGCTCTCTGGATCTCAACCAGGATGGTTTGAAAGGTTGGAAACACAGGGACAACTTTGGAGGCAGGTAATTATTTAATACAATCTACACACACACACACACACCTACACACACACACACACACACACACACACTTGTATTTTTTGTTCGACTTTGGGGACATATATCAGGACTTAGACTTACAGCTTTATTTCCAAGCAAACCTTTGGTGAGGTAAGTCCACTTTACAGCTTAGCTAAAATTGCTTTCTATTTAAAGTTTTCTCTTTGGTTGAACTGTGCTGTACTGAAAAAAGGAAATAATTGAATTTAACAACATAATTTCAACAAGTAAGTCGCTTTTTCTTTGGTTAATTTCAAAGTAGGTAAGGTGCACGTCTTTTGCTGTAATCAGGACGTGCAAAAATATCCACAGATCATATAATCAGGGTAATCAGGGCATGGAGCTTTGTTTTTTTTTTTTCTTGCTTCTTGCTCTTTGCTTCACTTGTTGCATAATGCGAATTTTGTTGTGCGAGAAAAAAATGAAGTTGCATGCCCTGATTACCCTGATTATATTATCTACTGATATTTTGTGCTTTTGTGATACAAAAGAAAAAACCCAAGACCTCAACTCCCACTTGGCACCTTGGATGGAGAAGTGAGAGCTCTTCATCCAAGAAAAAACCCAAGACCTCATCCATCTGGAGGCTGCTCGGACGCAGGGGTGAATGAATCTGGAAACAGAACAAGAGAAGTGGAGCGAGAGAGAAAGAAAGCTTTGGGAGAAAGTGCAAAAGAGAAGAGAGAAGTGGGAGAAAAGGGAGAAAGAACAACAAGAAAAGGAGGAGAAACAAAGAGAGAAAAGGATAAAACAAGAGAGGGAAAAACGAGAGAAAGAGGAGTGAAAAATAGAGAAAGAAAGGCAAAAGAAAGAGAAGGCTTTTAGGGAAAAAGAGGCAAAAGAAAGGAAGGAGAGAGAAAAACAAGAGAAATATATATGTTCAGATGCCAACTGGTAAGAAAATCAGTGTGCACATAAAGTTATATACAAGCATGTATTACCACCTGAATATTGTAATGTTGATAGGTTTGACTTTTTGGGCATTTTGGATGAATGTAGCAAATGAATTCCCTTTGATTTGCATATAATCTCTGCACCTGAAAATGTGGCTTTACTCAGGATTTGTTTTCTGTCAGTGTGCAGCTGGACTCCACGTGAAACCTTTCTTGTATTGTTACTTTCAGATGTCCACATGAGTGTTGAGGAGAGTGACGGGATGATACTAAGTGAGCTCGACCGCCATGTTCGAACAGCAGCAGGAAGGTAGACCGCAGACTAAACCCTCCCAGTGAACCTTTTTCGGAGCAAGGCACTTAACATGATACAGTCACGGAACAGACTCCAGATTATAAAGGAAAACTGAGTCCTTGAAAAAAAGAAACAACTCAACAACCATCCAGAGATTAAGTGTTTCAGGGGTTTTTTCAAAGTCTTAGTCGGTGGTTGTTCAAAGTCATGGAACGATTGCCAGCATATGTGCCCTTGCTGAGAGAGCTAAAGTGCCATGCAGGTCATGGTCAAGACAAGTGCTTCATTAGAAGAAAACTGGACTTTGGTTCTTGAAAACATCCAGAATGTCGACCCTACTGTCCTCGAAGGAGTGTCCCTTATCGTTCAGATGTTGAGTCTTGTCAGGAGGGGCTGGTTTTCCATGTGCTTGTTGAGCTGTTATTTAGTAGGTCTGCATACTTACTGCCACATTGGATTGCATGTGAAGAAGAAAGCCATTGTCTTTTATTGTGATGGTCAAAGACCCCTGAATTCATTCCCTGTTG